AATTCCTGAAGGCGCTAACGACATTCCCGATTATTTTGTTCGACGCCCTTCGAATGCGAGTTTATAGCTGTCAGGATATACAGACATATACCTACTTACCAGCGGAGCCCACGGTATTGCGTCTGACACGGAAACTCGCTCGTAAATTCCCGCCGAACAAATTTCCAGCATGTGTCGCGGCTATCTTAGGCCCAGTGCCTCTCAACCCAGAACCACATTGACTCACTTAATATCATTGAACCTCTCCCTTAATTATTTCTTCGGAACTTTCTCGCCTATATTACTCTAAAATCTGATTATTCTTCTTCCACATGCATGACTATTACATTTACAGAAAATTCCTCAAAATTCTCGGGGAGGCGGAAGGAATAATTAACGAAATTAAACGTTCGATAGTTCTTCGTCGGAAGAACGAGATTGCTAGCTACGAATGTACACTAACGTACAAACTGAGCTTCCGCTACGGGAAAACGTGTTGTGGGGGAAGGGCCTTTTACCACTTGATAAATTTATTTCAAGCACTAAAATAAATGTTAAACCGAATGTTAATTTGGCATACATGTCAACAGTTCCCGATACCAAATGGTAGGAGGCCTTTCCCCTACTTCATTTTTTCCATCAGTGGAAGCCGAGTTTACTCGTGAGGGTTCGTCGCGATGTGTTCGGGCTGCGCCCGAAGGTGCATGAGAACCACTGGGGACTTGGGAGCGGCCGGCAATCAGAATATCGTACGTAGTCACACATTTAAACAAAAACACACATCGAGGTGGTACCGAAGCACTACTATCTCAATCCGTACGCAAATGAGCTCCTCTGCCCTCTAAGAAGACGAGGCAAGAGCGATGCCCGTGTAAAAGTGCTTCCATGGATGTGCAAGTGCGTGCGCGCGGCTTGTATTTTACCGTGCATAAATTGAAACACACGTGCGTCTCTCCCAACCCCCTTCGATCTCGTACACAATACCCATAAACCCGATGTTGATCGCGCGCGCACGCGGAGAGCCGCGAAGGAGTAGGAGATTGGGCAGAAGGGAGGACAAATCAAAGCCACTCAAAGAAATAACCAGCGCTCATTAAGAGTAATAACCCCTCTCCTTCGGTCGGGCCGATTGTTTCAAGGGTGTCACACGGATCGGGCAGCAGCTGCGATACACTGCGCGTTACTTAACGGTCTTCCTTATTATATTATTTGATTCGGGGTTGCATCGGGGTCCGGCAGTGACCTTGCCAACAGAGAGGAACCCTATTAACGAGGCAATCTTACATGAAACGTCCAGTGATTCTTATTTCCTTTCGTTGCGCTGCCTGGCCGAATGATCCGGCGTACACGCATGTTACGCGACGTCTAGTTAGTTGCTTCGGATTTATTTCACGGATAGGATCGTTGTCGACCACTTTAACCATCGAACGGCGCATTTTGTATAGTGGGATAATAGGGTCATTCTAGACGGGGTTGGACAATTTTTAGTTAAACTGACGGTGACTTATAAGGACGACGTATAATTACTCGAATGAAAATAAGAATTAACTCCTTGCCCTACGATTTTCTTGACGTCTGCAGACTCCAGGATTACATTGCTGGCGATAGTTTCCCAGAGACTATTTTTACTGTAAAAGTTAAATATTAATGCCAGCAACGTAGTATTTTACTTCAACTTAAAGAGAACCGAATAATATTCTTCTTTGTTGAATCAATTTTGAAATCGTTCACACGCGTCTGACTCGATGTTATAGGGCAAGGGGTTAAATGTAGGGTGGATGCACCAGTAAATGAACATGTATCAATGAATGAACATTATATATAAAAACGAGTAAATTGAATTATTAAAATAAGCAAACGATTAAATGCTTCATATTTAAACAATTTTCGTGCCATTGGTTAGAAATGTACATTTACTTTATATTGTTCATTCACTGGTGAAATGTGTAGTTTTTCTATTTAATTTAATCAATTACATTTCTCCATTTTTTAAAATTGAAATCTATACGTTATAAAAAGGCACAGATACTAAAAAATCTAATTTTCATGTGCGTGTATTAATGATATTAACATTTAAAATTCGACTTTAGTAGTTACAAAATCTCTTAAGTGTTCATTCATTGATACGTTTACCGTAGGGACAATTAAAGCCACCGGAAAGAAACTTTGAAATCTTGATGAATCAATTATTTTTAAATGATTTTTTATATAAGTGTTCTTTTTTAATTTGTAAAATATAATGGAAAGTAATGAATAATAATTCTTGCATTTTGTGAGTGAATTAGAAGGATATAAACAAATCCTGTATAGTATAAATATTGTAGAAAATCTGTAACAGAAATACATTTTTATCTAGATTTCATACAGAATAACACGAATGAAATTTATCTACTAACGAAAAATATTACTTATATAATATTAACTAAGATAACAAACTAAAGTAAATATTTTATGATAAAAATTATATTCAAATAATCGTTCAAAGAAAAGTTATAATAAGCATTTCGTATTTTATTATGATTATTCGTCATTGGTAAAGTATTTATTTAAACTTATTTGGTCATATTCTTTTTCATAGTGTCATTACATAATTAATTATTCAATTATATTTTCACGTTACAACGAAGTGAACATGTTTCATGGACACTCTTGATATTCGAAATGTGTTTTAAACAGATACAGTCGTATATGATCCGTAGAATATTTAATTACAAATTCCATCATGCAATAAGAACGATAACAGATAAAAGTAGACCCAAATATCTTAGAAGTATAAAAGTTAAGTATATGGATGAAGAACGATTGAGCTGTAATTTTTCTAGTTTCCGAAATTACCACCTTCATTTTTCATAGAAGTACAGATTGACAAAAAAAAAACTTTATTATATTTCTTCGGGTACCGTTTGTCTGTCTTTTTAATCTACGATACAATTGAAATTATTTTATAACACATATGCATTGACCAAAATTCCATGCAATTTATAATAGCCGTATGCACTTTCTAATTCAAACAATTCTCGCAAATAAGTGTCCTTAACACAAATGACAGACGAACAAATCGAAAACATTGACAAGTTAACTAAACAGTTGACTATGAAACATCGAAAGATCTAGTAGAACTAACAAATGTTTCACCTCTAATTTCCCAACTCATTCAGTACCATTATTCTCTTTTCTATTTTACAATATTTTATTTATATTTTCCATCTCATACTGCTTTACCTTTTTTTCACCAAAAAAATTCCAGCCGTTCCAAGACGTAAAAACATGGGTTATTTGCTCTCATGACCACGAGAAACCATAATCCAGTCGACCACGAGGTACCAGAAAGAAGCGTTAGTCAAACAGAACATTACTCGAGTACCAGGGGTTCTCAATACCATCGCGAATAAAGGAAAAATAAAGAACTGTTTTTAATAATTATCGATTCCATTATTGACATTGAGCTAGAACAGCGAAGAAGAACGACGAGGATCATATTTCTACCTGGTTCCGCTGCTCTCGGCCGAGCTGCTCGCGACCCACGAAGCCTGATAATTACAGGCGAGCGTCCAGCGAATGAACAGGGGTATCATTAACACTTCCTGCCTCGTAACGACTCCTCGACTGATACACGGTGCGCGCTGTACCCATGCGCGTCACCGCGTAAACCTGTCAACCTGCTTAATTGACGTCGAACACCGGCGCGTATCGTCGAGAAGCATCTGATCATGAAACTTGATCGAGCAGAGAGCGATAAACGAATTAGAATTAATTTCCGATGGGTTGTATCCAAATTCGATTATGTATGTAGCTACATATTTGAAAATAGCATCGTGCTCTTCTCTCGAGACGGCCATAGGAATTATTCTGTTGGGGCTCGTTGCCCTGCGGCTAGGCTAATAGCAACCAATTTACCTGTCTCACCGAAGTAAGAACAGGTTCCTTATAAATTCTCCCCCCGGTTACGTCGGTGACGTTATTATGACAACTAAGTTGACGCGAATCAATTATAACCGCGCTACTTTCTGCTTTTTCTCCCTTTTACTCGGTGTCGGTCGCGTTAATTATACTTCGAATTTTTCTTGAGTATCATCAGGAATTGAAGTCGCATCGCAATGCGACTCTGCATTTACAAAGTATTTTTAGGTTCTGGTAAATATGTACATTGTATTTCTACAGCAAATTAATTACCAAGTGCGTAAACTCAGAGATATTAGTAAAGTTTATAGCGTTAGGTTTCGTTACTGGCCTGTAGATTTTATACATTTATGCCACAGTTGAATGTTTACATGAAAATGGGAGGCAGAGACTTCACCAGGGATAACTATCATTTTTATTTTATTTTCAACGTAATAAATTCCTTAAGTATCGAAGCAAAATTTTCCTTGTTTTGGACTCTTCTAGAGTAGTCAACGAACGTCAGGGTTTGCATAAATATCCGCAGTCTATTCATCGCGTATCAACATTTTTACAATTTTTCCAATTGATACAATTGTAATCCTCCAATAAGGAAGCAAAAAAGGTGTAAATTACGTAGATATTAATATTATATAAATTAACACTACAGAACGCACGTTGGGCCTGAGAGGCCTACGACACTATGTTTTATGATATAAAATATCATTTTCTTTAACTACACCTTTTATATCTAGTGTGCCTACAGATTCCAATATTCGTTACAATTGCAATTAGATCAATGTTCGTATATCGTGTACTATGCAGAGATCGTAAGTTGCCGACGAATGATATTAACGGGACCACCTCCAGTCACATGAATTGTCATTATCGGCTAAATCTATCGCGAGTGACGAAGAACCCAAAGCAAACACATCGAGATAGAGTGAGACGGAGCAATAACGTTCAGTTTGTCGGTATTCGACAACTTACGATCACTGCGCAGCATGTGTAGCACCGATGAGATTCTTGTACACGCGTTCACTGTCAGGTTACGAAGTAAATAACCGGCAAACATTTACAAAGCGTATGTAAAATGAAGTACAGTCTGCTAATAACGTCGACCGGTCGTTTGGTTTCAGTAGCGGCTCCAGGTTTTAGCAGCGTCATGCACGGGAATGGTCTAATGTCCTTGCACGTGGAAGGCGGTACGCAGGTCCAGGTGCCACGCTCGTTGATGCAGGCCTTCCTGCAGCAGGACCCGAATCATCCTGGGTTGGAAACGGTACGGCTGCCGACGCCTCAGTGCGGGTCCGACGAGGCTGGACCGCCGCCACACTGCCGCGAAGTGGAAACCGAATTGTGTCTGGTCTGTCGCCGTTGCGGCCGGGCTTATCCCCAAGAGTCGACGCTGCTCGCGCACCAGCGTTCCTGCTACCTGGGTAATCAGCAACGTCGCGGGGCGCTGCGTCTCGTTCAATCGCGTTATAGCTGCACGCTGTGCGACGGGAACACCCCCTCTACACGACCGTAAGCGAATGGCGGCGTCACGCTGAAACGTTGCCTCACCGAGCCCGCCAGGAGGCAAGTCAAGAACGACAACAGCAGCAACAGTTCGGCAATATCGGCGCGGAGACCGTTGGGCAATGCGGCGAGGAGGTTCATCCGCTAACTGACGAAATGGAGGACGTCGTCAATCAAATCACCTTATTGGCTGCTCGCGCGGCCGCCGAGAGCACGACCGGCCAGGCTCAGGGTAACGAGAGGGTGAATCCGGACAACAACAACGCTCCCGACGTGAAGAGACCGAAACTGGTCCAAGAGGTGGCAGCTTTGGCCGGCGCCCGCTAGGCGCGCTGACTCGAGGGACGATGGGTACAGGAGACGGTGTGACTTTTCACGGAGGGATGCTATAGGATATGTCTCGACTGGTCCCGACCCGATTCCTTTGAACCGGACTGAGCAACGGGGATATAAAGAAGGACCGAGAGTGTTCGATAGGTGTGCTCTGTGAGGGAGAATACTCGATAACGGAAACAACGTTCCTAACTGACTAGATAACGGGGAGTCGGGGGTTCCATCCTAGGCAGGAATTATCGGCGAGGGGCTTTTTCTTCCGCTTCGGGCCACCCACGGAATCTCCGACTCCCGTGGTACTCGTGCGTGGACGGTGGACCAATTACGAAACGAGCGCATGCGAAACCCCTACTTGTTTCATGTTTCATTATTTAAACGTTGCGCACTGCCACTGTCGCGCACCCGCCGGTTTTCAACTGTTATTTTTTATTGTGACGACTGTAATAGCGTGCCACCGAGCAGCGCGTACACACACCAAAGTTCCTTCGATTGAGAGAATAGAAGAGATTCCGAGACGAGGTAAACGACAGACGACGCACGGATCGGGGAGAGAGAGAGCTTTCTGTGGCGGATCGTTTAGACGAGAAGAAAATTACGAGGGGAGTGACGAAATATTCCCTTGACGACGCTGGATGATACGCGTCGGGGTGGGCTGACTTAAACGTTCCTATGTAAAGTAATAATAAAAGTTTAATGAAAAGGAAAAGAGTTACTAAAAAAAAAGAATAAACGAGGCAGACGTTAAGGGTCGCGCGGCGATGTTTAGGGTAGATGGCGCGCGGCATTCGCGAAACTAAAAGTGCCGCGGTTATTACGAATACGTACATACCATATTCATCTAAATCTTCACTCTCTCTATCTCTCTGTCTCTCTCTTTCTTTTTTTACGTGCGTGTGTATGTGTGGTTCCGCGAGGCGTGTACGCCAGGGAGGACGCGGGGAAAGTATATCGTCGACGAGAATGACCACAGAACGCCTTTGCTAACGAGAATACGAAATTAAAATTGAGAAACGTACGGTTCGAAAGCGCACGCCATCCGCGTTTTGTTTCGTACTTCGTCGAGGTGACGGACGAAGAGGACGAGAAGGTGTAGGAGCACGACGGGGTATAAGCACATTCGTGAGATCGATTTTAGAACCCGTGAAAAACGGGGCGGCGGCGGAGGAATCTTCGAGCGAAGATGGCCCACACGCACACACGTGCACACTGAACACGTGCACGCGTTCGTTCGCATGCACATACACACATACACACACGTGCAATACACAGGCATTACATCGATCCCGTGAACGGGACACGACACTCTCGCGACGGTGTTAAACCACTTTCGGAAACACGGGAAACAGAACGGGGCAGGGGTAACGGGGGTAGGGGGTGTGCGACGCAAGCTGTCCCCCCTATGGGCCCGTCACGCGATAAAACACGGACTCGACGCGGTTCACGAACAAACAAGACCCAGCAACATGGTTCCTATATTTAATAAATTATATTTAATAACGCTAGACACAAGAAATGATTAATAATAATATTAATGATAACAATAAACATAGTAATAATAACGATAGTAATAAAAAGTCATTAGTTATAGCTAATCGATAGCTGTAATAATCAATGGTAGTGTAACGTACGACGATGATTTATCGGTCGAGTTATAATTACCCCCGCGATCGGGCACAGTGCTGGGAGATCGTACGAGGAGACCGGATTATCACCGCTCGTCGCGTCTTTTTCACTTATCGCCGAAACGGAAGCTTCGGCCGCGCGCGATCGTTGACGTATCGACGCGGACGAGCGCAACGGGATGACGGTTGGGAACGTACGGGACGCGAACGGAGGACTTACGGGGGCAAGGTTGAACCTTCATTTTCGCGGCGCGATACGGGAAAATATTGAAAAATGAACAGCACTCGATCGCGAAATGAGAGAGAGAGAAAGACACCTCTCGATCGGCGGATAAAGGGTTTTGTAAAGGTCTGCTCGGGAACGACGATGAATTCACTATTAGCGTGTAAGTTACAGTTAAATTACAGCTAAACTGTAGAGTTAAGGGGAAGGAAGGTTTATGCATTGGTAGACGACACACGAACACACACACACATGCATAATAAAAAAAATATATATATATATTTAAGTAGATAAATGTATACGTGCCTGTGATATATATTGTGTATTTTGTACGCATATACACTACATGTATATCATATGTACGTATATAATGTTGTAACGTACTAGAATCCTCGCGGGTATTATCCGAAAAGATGAAGACGTGCATACACGCGTACGTACGTCGTGTTCCCTCGCGTTTGAAAATGCTCCGCGCTGTCACGACGGCAGAAGGCAATCACACGGGAGAGATCAGAATGTCAGAGGAGAGAAAATTGTGCGCGAGTGAAAAAGTTCCACGGGGCGCCGAGGGTTGTCGTTGTGTGTGCAGGTGAAGGGTGGTTGCGAGCCTCCGAATCGTCGCGTGAGACGAAACAGAACTTTGTTTTTGACCAACCGCGAACGATCCATGGTCCGATGTCGCAGCAAAGGCGTATAAAACAAGGTAAAGCAAATAAATCAATTCAGTTTTGCAAAAGTAAATTAGGAAGAGAGAGGATACATGGGGGTCTGATGATGGGTGAAAATGGGTGCAAAATCAGTTTTAAGTGGTCGTCAAGGCGAACGATACAAGAATTATTTCTAAGGTAACTAAGCAACTCGAGGTTCCTGTCTGCAAAAAAAAAAGATGCTTTTTCTAATGTAACGTTGATAACGGCAATTATTAATATTATTTTTGAATTATTATTATTATTTTTATTATAGATTACGACATTATATTTACATATGTATATGTGGTCACGTATTTATTATTATCTATGTAAAAAACGTTACAGCGTTGATCGAAAACGAAAAAGAGGCACATGTATACAGAGAGAGAGATACAACACGTATTACACATAATACAAAGAACACATCGATACAATTAGTACACGTGAACAAAATCGATACGAATTATTAAGTTCCCGATTTATTACGTTGCTCCTAATGGCGATCCGTTTTTCGATCGTGATTCGGAGCATCGAATCGAACATACCTTTGTAAACCGATACCTCGGAAAAATAGGACAATTATTGTTACTATTCGGTAATCGTGGATTAATTGAACTCTGTAGATAATTCGAATTAGATCCGTGGCGATTCCGTGAAATCGTAGATTTCACAGTTTTGTCAATATATTGGCCGCTCTCATTGCTATTGAGGGGATACGAACTATAGTAAACTCTGTAACGGGGCAATGAATCTCTATCTTCAATCATAATCGTGGCGAATAGAACCAACTTCTACCACTCATTTTATCTTACCACTCAGATAGATGGTTGCTAACAAGCAATCGTAGATCAAATCTCGAAAGCAGTAAGCTACCTGCGCAAGATATTATTCGTTAAAACGAAAATTAAAATAAAATTCTTGATTTTTCACTATATGTTAACAATGAATTAGCAAGGTTTAACGATATAAATCAGTCCAAACATAACTGCAATTCGGCCTGTAAGAAAGTTTGAGTAAGTGCAATAATATAGAAATTACCGAACAATGTTGAACTAAGGGAGTGTACTATTTTTATAGCTACCCTATAAATACGTACACAATGTAGCAGATGATCTGAATGAAGTTGTATAAGAAGTTATATTCATTGAGAAGACCTAGCCAGTCCATTATGTAATGGTCGGTGGGAAATAAATGACTTATCACCATTCAAGTCTGTAGTATGTATTACCTTAATTCTATACATATAGTTTTCATAGATGCTTCAAAATACTGTTGACTGCCATTAGTTTTGATGTTACAAATTCGAATCTTCATCACCCTCTAAAACACTTAAAGAAAATTGTAAAATACCTACTTACATTTTTTGAATACATATTCAAGAAATGTAAAAATGTATTTTACAATTATAACATGGACAATGGCGTCTTTTTTGCCCACTAACTTAATATACTCTAATGGATATTTCATAAAAATAATTAAGAATTGAAATGGTTTTTAGAGAATTAAATACTAGTCTTGTTGGATGCCTTTCACAGTTGATATCCGAGTGTAATAAGTGCTCATCTCACATTATGCTCACAAAATAGCACAATCTGTCATTGAGTACGGTTCAATGGTTCCGAACTAATTGTCCTAATATAGAATTTACTATACGCAGTATAACCAATCGTATAGCACGGGATGTAAATTTCAAAAAGCAAAACAATCTTTTTAACGTACATGCCCAAGAAACGGTATGTACTTTGGCGCACAAAGGATTAATATCATGTTCCTTCTAATTATATCCATACTCATACACACTGAGACACACACACGTACACATACAGACAGATGCTCGTATATGTATACGCCAAATCTTTAATTTTTCTAATTGATTCGCCGTCATGCGATTGCACGAGGATCTTTGAGAAATCAACGAACGCGCAACTGGAACGCGACACTTATCAATACACTATCTTTACATCGAACACAAAAGCACACACACACACACACACACACACACACACACACACACACACACACACACACACACACACACACACATATATATATACATATACACGAAAGCACTAGACATCTACATTAGATTACGAGAACGTTCTCGGATCGATATATCGCATACGCGCAGTAAATTCTCAAAACGCGGCAACGTACGTGCGCGTGTACGCAAAACTGGGTCGGTTTTGGCGTTTTGAGTTTTGAGTACGGGAGATTGCGTGATAGAGTAACCGAACCTCGCTACTAGCTGTTCCTAAAATCAACAATGAATGAGTGATAAGCGTGCGCGAATAATTTAAGGAATGATTAAGAGTCAGATGCAGTGGTAAATGCGAAATGAAAGATAATTATGTTGTGAGACTAGTGTGCCCTCAGCCGCCATTTCTCGTTTCTCTCGTGACGGAACACCAATCGCGTCATTCCTCTTCCACCGTACGTCCGCCATCTTGCTAACATCATCGC